AGGTGAAGCGGGCTCTGAATATTCATAAAATGGCCATTTAGTCATGGGAGTGTTAATTGTCTCTGATTCACAAAACTGTGTGACCTCACCTGCTCCCTGCAACACATGAAAAGGATGTGGCATAATGGGACGAAACCAGATAAGATATTTATCTCCCAACTTTGGGGGGCTTTTTGATGCAGTCTCAAAAGACCTTAGTGTACTGCTCAGCATTTCTTTAATCACGTCTCACAAGCACCATAAAGACCAAGCTCAGTGGAGCATATTATTAGTCAGATAATAACCCTTACCCTGCCAAGATCYAAATACTGAACTCATCACACACTGGATGAGTTGTCTGTAAAGTTTTGGGTTGCCTTTTTTTTTTTTAAATTTTTTTTTACCCTAAAAGAGCACACAAAAACCAGAAGATGGGCTGAAAGTCCCACAAAAGACAACCCAGACCTACCATGAAATTCATACCACCACAACAGCTCAGCTGGCTTTGATTCTGGGGACTGTGCTTTTTACCAGTACCACACAGAATGAGCACCAGATATTACTCCCCTGTGTATCAGCAGCAGCTTTGTCAGAAATCCAAAAGGAAGCAGCCACAGCCTTTCTCCAAGCAATACATGAAGGGACAATTGCTTGACAACTTGACTTTAGAGGAGGCCAGGCAGGAGAAAAGCAACAGAGCTCCTATAATGACATTTAAATGCAGATTCTGAAATGCACCAGGTGGTACAAGAAAATCACAGAGAGAGTAACCCTTGGAAGATCTATTGAGCTACATGAGAATATAACACAACCAAATCAGCAGAGAAAAAAACCAACTAAATTTGGTTCAGACAGACTGTGTTTCAGTATCACTCYCAGGCCCCGCCTGTAGCTTCCATCTTCTCAGCTCCTTTTAAAATGTAACATGTTGAGTCTGTGCATTTTTTCCCCCTGCCAAAAATAATCAACCTGAAAAAAAAATCCTTCTGAAATCTCAAATCTGCAGAGTCTTAGTCACCCTTCTGATCACCCTTTTGTGCAGCCAGACTGTACATCAGTGCTATTCTGACAAAAAAGTTAGCTGTGACTAAAATGGGAAAGCACACACAAATTACTTTACTTCCCCACCCTTAAAAAACTCACCATCCAAAAAATCTTATCACAGAAAAACATATAATTAGACTGTACCCTTCTGATGTAAACTGAATTGCTGCTTTCAATGATCACAGCCACTCTTCAAAGCCTCCGAGATAAAAAGAATCTTATCATTCAAATTATTACTTCTTAGGGATGCTCTTATCAAAGTTCGAAGGAAAATTCTAAAAACAGCAGTGATATGAAACCAGGACTGAGCCATATTTTAAATGACACTGGATTTTCTGCCAATTGGCCAATTCACAACTCAGAAAAAGCAAGTGTAGATGAAGACAAAGCTGTTGGCTCTCATAACCTTTACAATATCACAGTAAAAATCTCAACTGTCTCACATATTTATACTAAATGGCAGGTCTAAAATTGAGATTTGTAATTTCACAGCATCAAAATCATCACAGATGGCTACAGTCTATTGCTTCTTTAATCTGTCTTTTCTCCCTCCCTGCTTGTTTCCCCCCCTTCCTCCTTTGAGTTAGAAAGATAGGAGTTTTATCATAAGGAAATCATAACTAAACCCAAACCACACTTTATTAATGTGTAACAAAACAATTTACATAACAATGATGTGTACAAGTGAAGTTTAAAATTACTTTATGTCTCAGCTTTGCCCTAGAGCACTAATTGCCTTAGCCCTGAGATGTGCCACTAGTTGGGATAGTCATCTTCCATCAACAATTTCATTTACACTTTTCTAAATGGACAGCTGCTAACACAGACCATTTGAGGGAGAATAAACAGTATTAGAAGTAATGAATTGGGATTTTTTCAGCATCCAATTCACAGCTACAAGTTTCATCTGCAAGCAAAGGATCAGAGCTCACCTAAAAWTTCTACTGATCAGGACCAATTCTGCAGAACCACTGCTGTGACACTCCAGTGAAGGTTCCCAAATAAATAGGAATTAAGTATTTAGGAATTAAGTATTTAGCTCCTTTTCCTTCCTGTCCCAGGTTTTTGCATATATATGTATACACACACACTATGGATGTTCACTAAGACAATCATCATCAATAAAGTCAGCTGAAAAAAAAATAGCAGTCAGAGAAAGGACAGTTTTTTGTCATCATATTCAAACACCTCCATTCCACCGACACAGTTTTTTAAAAATCACATTTGAGGTCAGAAAGTCATTAACTCCCACTACAAGAACAACTTTAGATGTGAAAAGGCTTTCCATTACGCTTCCCACACACACATCAGAAATCAGGCACAAGAATCTCGAGACAAATGTATTATTTAAAAACTGGGAGGGTGAGCGAACTTGAAGCAGCTTGCAGGACAACGCCAGGGCCAGCTGGCCTGTCCCAGCACGGCGTGGCAGGAGCAGGTCCCAGGGGACAACAAGGAGCTCCAACATCAACTGTGCATCTCCCAACAAGTGCAAAGCCCCAGCCCACTGGCCCAAACTATTGCTGCCCACTGAGCTTTTGTCAAACATTTAAGATCTTAATCAATCCTAACTCTGACCCTAGCATCACAGGGGAAGATGGATGAGGAAACGGACAACCTCTGACCTTTCCTTGTATTTGTCCTGCCACAGTCAGCCTATTGAAAAACAATTGAGGTGGAACCTGCTCACCAGCTCCAGTCCCATACCAGCACCCTTTCACAGCTTTCCCAAACTCAAAGCCTCTTCCCCTGCCCCCAGTCCTCTATACCAAAACCACAGGAATCACTTCATCCTCCTCCTCCCCTCCAAAAACCTGTCAGAGCAGAACATTTGCTAAACGATAAAGTAGAGAGGGTAAAGAAAAGAGGAAAGCTCATTCAGTGGTGTCAAAGGCCAAACTGCTTTAACAGCCTCACTGGAAACCAGAGAGGAGCTGCTCAGCTCTGGTGAGCTTCATGAATTCATCAGCAGGAGCTTCCCAGTAAACTTTCCTGGCTGGAGAACGGCAAATGCGAGGAAAGRAAACCACAAATAACAGCCGATGAAATGGGTTTAGCACTTTCAATTACGCGCTGGCTCGAACACTCTCACAACAACGAGCACGGGCCAACTTCACTCCAGAGAGCCCCAGAGACAGAGCATTTCTAACACCTTTGTCAGTACGGCATCACCTGGTCCTCCTTTTAATTGGGAAATGGAGAGCTGCAATTCCAAACATCTCCAGATGAGCTGAGAGCCTTTAGGTAAGCTGACAGCCATCCCCAAGGCCTGGCCCAATACCACAAGAATAAATTTAAAGCATGCCACTATAGCCACTGCCCATCAGCAAAACCTCAAGAGATTTCCTCTGAATGGCAAAGGATTTGTTGGACAATTAGCTCATCACATCTGGGCCRCTGACACTGAAAAATAGATGATCTGTGTCAATCAGAGTGACCCAGCACTGACCTAACAGGCCTTCAGGAGAAGGGAAATCATCYCTGTGCAATAAACCAATAAATGCTTCCCCCTTCACTTCCTCCTGTCACGAGCCAGGCTGGTAAGGTGTTGGAACAGGTTCACACTCTTCATGACAAACAGCTTTTCAAGTTTCCATCTCATGGGATGGAAAAACCAACAAAAACACCCCAAGAAAAAACAGTATTTTATGGCAGGCAGGATGCCTTGTCATTGTGCAGCTCATCTTTCAGTCCTCAGAAAGCCCATGGCAATTTTGTTGCYACTATGCCACACCAAGCTTCTGTCAGAGAGCAAAAACTCTGGAAATGAAGGCTGAAGTTCACACGTAGCAGTGCTTTCCTACCAAAGTTTAATTTCAATGCATAATAATGAACTTCATATTGACTGTAAATTACCATTTAAAAGAAATGAAGTAGGACATTAAGAAGACACCCTTCTCTCAGGAATCCATCACAAAAGCAGCCAGTTACTTGCTTTGCTAACTTATTCTTAATCTCAGGATGACAAAAATGCCCTCGTGAAAAACACACCAAGAAGATGTGAGGCAACTGGCTCCAAAGAACCTTTTCTTAAAAACATGGCTCCAAATCCCCAAAGGGGCTGAGCACCTTCAATTCAGCACCCAGCAAAATTAAGCTCACTGACCTGTGCAAGAATCCATTTAAGTCTGATCTTAATTTATGCTTACATGAGCAAGAGTTTCAAAGCAGAGGCTAAAGATATTTTATTTATAAACTCTCTTCTCTCCTTCCCTAACCTTCTACAGCTTCTTTATCCAGAAGAGAGAGGCGAAGAGAATATAGGTATTGAGGTTTCTTTCTTTTAGGGGAATCTGTCCTTTATACAAACTTTAATCCCTAATTCTGCAGCACACAGGATGGTGTGTGTGTGGGAGGGTGGGGTGGAGACTTCTAGCATTTCTAAGAGTATCCTAGCACCTCTATTATTTAACTGACAATGGAGACTCTCTGAGAAATGAAAATATTTAACAAAGGCAGCAGTGTCAAATATCAAAGGGTATTTAGTGCTAAAAATCTGCAACAAGTAAGACACCAAAGACTTCCACTTCCCAAAGTGGGAAAGTAATCCAGCTAAAACTCTTGTCCTGCCTCCCAGACTGGTTCTTAACCTACTGCATTATCCAAAGTTGCCTTTGCCAGAATKCCCTGTGCTGAACAAAGTTCCTTTGAAAGATTTGTCTCTTCAAACAACGGGAGCTCAACTGCACTGTTTTGCAGTCATTCACATTTTGGTGACTATCCTGAGCCAAATCAAATTTAGGCGTCTGCTCGAAAACGTGTTTCACCTTCTGCCCACTACAGCGGGATCATTTGTTCTGCATTATATAATTCTTAGCCTTGCCACCTGGAGCTATTGGACTTCTTCATTAAACCCCTCTGTCCCACCACATCCCACAGGGYTGCTAATCACTGGCTTGACTCCATTTCCTCTCATCTCCCATCCAATTATGCATTCCACCGAGMCCCAATGAAGAGCACAATATGGCTYGCCCTACCTTGGCATTCTCCGCCGCGCTCCTCGTAGCCAGCATTGCACAAGCAGTTGCCAATGGGCACCAGCCACTCGCCATCTGCCCCACAGTACATTTTTGGCACATCCTTCTCCTCCGAGTTGTTGACACAGGAGCCACGAACCTCCACCAGCGAGGAGGTGTCGGCGCCGGTGATGGTGTCTGGAAACTGTGCCAGGTTCCGAACGGTCAGTGGGCACTTCTTATAGAACACCCGCACCGACACCAAAGCRATGCACGCCCCCACGTCCTGGAAAGCCAAATAAAACCCTTTCTTGCTCAGCGGCCCCACATCCCGGATCTCTGTGTTCAGCTTCATGATCCTGTCACCAATGTCCACCTGGGTGAAGCTCTCGTCAGCAGCAATGGTGTCGATCTTGGCAAACTGGCTCTCGCGGATAAAACGCTCCTTATCGTTGTTGGACTCGTAGTAGTAAAGGTTGAAAGTCTCTTTGCAAGTTCCCATGACACCCGGCAGGCTGTTGCAGTCTCTSAGAGTGAACTTGATCTCGATATAAACCCTCTGAGCCCCCTCACGGGGAATCCAATCAGTTCGTAGCCAGTTATTCTGGCTGGGCTCCATCACGTTGCAGACCTGGTAGGTGCGGATCGGAGTGTTCTTCTCATCCATGATGCTCACCTCCTCCCACTGCAGGGAGGGAAAGGGCAGAAAAACACATCAGGGTCAGAAGGAACAACACAGCTTCACCACTAACAATATGCACTTGTTCCCTTACAGGGAAACAAACAAACAAACAAACCAGCAGAACAAGCCATAGCCGGGTCTCATCTACTTGGACATTAAAGGAAACATCTGCTCAGGAGAAACAAATTCCAAATCCAAATATAGGCAGCCCTCAATTAAATCCCCTCACGCCTTGAGGAGCAAGCATGGTTTAAAGAACCAATCCAAGAATGCTCCATCCACTGACTGGGTTTGTTCACACTCCAGTTCAGTCCCAGAGCCACACTGACCTGAGGTGCTCTCTCTGCTGCAGRGATCCCGTGGAGCCCACCTTGCACGTGGGAATATCCAACAGGTGACATAGCGTGGCTCAGTCACACACAGAGAGTGACATCCACGTTTCAGGCATCGCTACCATTTGATTTAAAAACTCTTAAGCCATCCCTTGTTGTTTCTCTAAGATGCCAACTACTTTCCTAAACCATCAATATCCCAGAAATACCCAGCAAAGGCTTTACTTTGAAGCTGAGCAGAAGTAGCTGTCTACACGGAACTGGGTCCTTGACTTGGAAAAACATGTAAGGAGGCATCTTCAGTCTACCATCAACACCACCACAACTTCATTAACAAAACAATTTCTTACTAGTGAAAAGGTAAAAAAAAGAAGAAATAGTACACAACTCTTTTTCTGAAGGAAATGTCAGGAAACTGCTACATTCATATTATCAAAATCCCAAAAAGGTTAGCAGAGAAGGAAGTGCTGAAAGATCAGGATAGCAGCATTCTTCAAAATTGTTACACCCCTCAAATCAAGTTCAGGCATCTTCAGAAGTGCCAAACAGGCAACATGATTATGAAACAAGAACAACACATGTAATCCAAGGCGGGTATGGAAGGAAGAGATGCAGGAGTTCAGCATAATGCAAAAGGAAAGCACACATACCCAACAGTTCTGAAAAAGACTGATTAAAGCACTATCATAGACAGAAAAAAGTTTATCACAGTGCTCTATTAGCAGAGAGGGGAAAGTAGGGACATAAGGGAAAGAAATCTTTTCAGGCAAAAGAAAAAAAAAAACCCAACAAAACCATGGCACTTCAATTTCTACTATTCAATTTATCCTTCTCTATAAAAAATATTTTCAAAAATATTAGATAATGATATACTGACTAGTTTCCAAGCAATACAATGAAGCATATAAAACCATACTTAGAAAACAGTAATAACTTTAAAGAGACTTCTCAGAAGTGCTTTTCAGAACCACTGAAGCCATGGCTCTGATAAACAGAAGCCTTCTTAACATGAAGGGGCTTCTTGTATAATATCCTGCATTCTTCTCACAAGGATTGCTCTTATGCAAGTGATTTTTACTTAAAAAGCTWCCAGCTTAGCTGAATCCGTTTATAGAATGACAGCAGTTAGCACCATGAGTCACTAGGAGCAGAAAGAATAATATTTTATTTGCTGCCTAGAGATAACTGCAAATTAAAATGAAGGAGGGGGGAAATCAATACTCAGCATGTCACTCCTTTCCAGAGAAAAGGAAAAAGTAAATCTTAAGAGGTCATCTATCAATGTAAAGTGTAACAATGTTGTTAGTAAGAAGACAGAGTTGTTTAATTTACAGCACCACAGAGCTAGTTTACTCTTACAATATTGTCTTTATGATCCATCACTCTCCATTCTGCCTATCTTCAGACTGTCTACGCTCCMAATATTGTGCGTGGTACAAGAGAAAGGAAGAAGCAGAGGGAAATAATACTTGTTGATGGGATTTCCTTTAGTGCATTCACACAATGGAGGATGCTGCTAGAGGATTCAATAGAGAGACCGCTGAGGTCAACAGACACACAGCAACCCAATTCAGCAAGTTTTTGGATCGGGTTCTCAACACACCCGTCTGCTGACCAGCACACAAATGCACAGAGCTGGGCTTCTTATTTCATTAACACACAAATACAGAACAAACCTAAGTGCATCTTTCTGACAGAGCTGAAAATAACCACGGCCCAAAATTTCCAGCCACTGTAAATGACTTGTGTGTGGTCAAAGCGGTAACTTTTTGCTTTCAAGCTGAAATAAAGTTTTATAGTTCAGCTCTTCCCACAGTTTAATGATGCAGATTAAAATATTCTGGGTACAAAACCTGCTTTTCAACTGTGAAATGCAAGAGTAGATCATTAATTACATTTATAATGCAATTCATTAGTTCCTCCAGAGCCACTAGATAGCTAGTCACTGCTAAATGACTATGTTTATCTCCAGCCCTTCTTATCCACACAASCCTCACACCTCAGAACAGTGTGATAGAGATGTAGAAAAATACCTTCTTTTAAACACACAGTAAAGTATAYACAGTAAAAGAAAAACACCAAAGAACAAATTCTTCCCAGGAAGATAAAAGAGTTTGTTTCTGCTGCTTGAAATAAATCTGCAGCATATGAAGTTAAAGTAAATGCTTTCCAAGCACTGTGTCTCAGAGACAGACCATGTACTCTTAAATTTTTCACTACAGGCTTAAAAATAGAACACACGTATGTAGGTTTAGTGAAACGAGTCACGTCCACAATAAGAGCACACGATTTTCCTCCTCAAGCTCGCATGGTGCTTTCAGAAAAAACACAGGGGGAAAGGGGGAATCCAACAGCCATTAATAATATCCAGCTGTCCTCTGATCATTGATTCCACTGCCGASTTATTAAAACTTGTATTTTAGGCTCTGTTTTAATACACAGCGTAGCTGTCCCTTGGAAAGCCGCTTGAAAGACCCCATCTCATTACCCGACATTTCCAGGGTGCGGGATTAAGAAGGAAGCCCGAGTCTCACCGAGATAGAGCTGTACCTTTCCACACTGTCAAAAGATGAGGGCAATTGCCTGCAATCAGCACTGAATGTGCACYGTGGGCGCTGCCAGAGCCCTGCCAATCACTTCCCCGCTCTTTGAAAAACCGAGTTTTGGGGACAGCGCAGTGTGCTCAGGCGGAGCACAAGCCAGGACTGTAGTCAAGTTCACCCAGAACAACAATGGGGGAGCAAAACAATCCCCCATTCTCCCATGTTATGGTTATTCAGAGCTTATGCATAATGCATCAGCAGCCAACGCAGCCTCGGATTCCTTCCGCTCACTGCTGTTTCCTTAGCTCTGCTTCTTCTAATTACGAGTGGGAACGCACACAAAAAAAAAGTAAATTTGTAGGTTTCCTCAAGAATCCAGTGCTTTGTTGCGCACAGGTCCTGATCTTTCAGCTTTTTCCTTTTTCGAACACTTTGACTTAGTTACTTCTGCTTAAGGATTCCATGCTGCTTTTGCTTATTTAATATTAGAAGATTTGGGTTTTTTTGTTTTTTTAATTTTAATTTTTAGTGTGCATTGCGGGCTTACATTGCTCATATAAAAAAAGAAAAAKCCTTTCTAATTGCTTAGAAAAAGAAAGTCCCATGAAGTACAGTCTCCTCCAGATTCCAGCAACTCCAGAGTCGTGCATTCGAAGGAGTTTCCCAGAGTGGCACTGGGCACCCTGCAGGTCAGGGCACAGATGATGGCAAGGTACCCATCCAGTAATATAAAGCTAAATCAACAAATAAAGCTACCTGGTGTGCAGCTCTCTAAGCAAAGGGACTCTAAGCTCCAGCAGTGAACCTCTTAACATCACACATCACCACTGGGCAGTGCATCTGAGCAGCCTTSTCTTCAAGTGAGACAATTGCAAAAGTACATAAAAACGAATTCCAAGGAATCACAGTCAAGCACTGGGTGCTGCAGTTTATCTGTTCAGAAACCAAAACACACGATGTTTACACCCTGAAATAGGACAACTGCCCCATCACAACAAAAAGTCTGTCGTGTATATTGATCCGTGCTCCTTCATCCAGAAATAGAACGGCAATTGCCCTGAACATCTCCCAGCCGAGACAGTCCACAGATAAAATAATAGCAGTCAAGAATGCCAATTCAGTCGGCAGATCACATTTCTTGTTGGTATTTCAGTTTTAAATAGGCATCTAAAGCCCATGCCTCAACCAATCTCTTAATTCTGAAACCTCTTTTCTGCCCTTTTGGTTTCCACTTATTCCATGACAGAACTATCCAAAGGGAGTATAGAGTTTCTCCAACAAAGAGTAATTCACTTGGTAAGCCAGGGAAGAAATCTGACCTCCTCACCACAATCAACAATAATCGAGCCATTAGGACTCTCTGAAAGTTACTAATCACCCCCTTTACCCTTTTGATCAGATAGCGGTTTAAAACTTACCCCTCCTTCCAGGGGACTTGCTATCCACCCCAGCTCTCCCTGAACTGATCTGGAATCCAGCAAGGTAACTGCAGAAAGGTACAAATAAAASAGATTAAATTCCAGCTGCCAAAAGGCAATATTAAAATAAATCGTTTACCTGAACGTTTCCATATGTGCGGAGCACGATCGCATCCACCTTCTACTTGAAATGAAATGTTATTTCCGACCGCGCCAATATCTGAAAACACTTGGAAACTCTGTCTGTGGAATCGCGTGTTGGTTTCCCGGTGCACTGGAGCCGCACAGGGGCGCGGAGGGGAGCGGCGGATCCGGGCACACCTGCGGCAGCACCGGAGCGCCTCTCCGGAGCGCTCCCGCCGCCCGGGACACGCAGCGAGGGTGAAAATCCCCACTTCCCGGGACTCTGGGAACACGGCTGGAAGCCGAGAGACCTGGCAGGGGCTCCCGAGGGGACCGGCGCCCCACGCCCACGCCGCGGGACGGCCGCGGGYTTCCCCCGCGGAGCCGCCGCCGGACCGTCCCGCAGAACGGGCTGAGCCGGGGCCCCGGGGAACGGCGCGGAGCAGCCGAGAGCTCCCGGGAGAACCGGTTTCATGAGCTTCGCTCCGAYCCGAGCCTGCCCGGCGCCGCTCCCGGGAGCGCTGCACCTCGGCGGCACGGCACGGCCCGGCCGGGGCAGCGGCGGAGCGGGGAACGCGCGGGGCAGGCTCCGCTCCGATCCGCTCCGATCCCCGCCGCTCCGCTCCGCTCCGCCCCGCGACACCTGTGCCGGCACCGCCGGCAGCCCCCGCAGCGCCGCTCGGGCAGCGACCGACCGGACGGGCAGCGACCGGCCGGGGCACAGCGGGGCCAGCACCGTCCCGGCGGCGAGCGGAGCGGCGATGGGGAACGGGACGGGACAGGACAGGACGGCACCGCCGCCCGCCCGGGGGCACCGAACTTTGCCCCCGCCGCCGCGCTGGGAGAACGCGCCGCCCGGCCGCCGGCAAACCTCACCTTCGTTGGCGGGATAGACCCGGGAGCCGGTGACGGCGCCGCAGACGCCGACGAGGAGCGGGAGGAGGGCGCAGATCGGGACCCCGGCCATGCCGCCGCCGCCGCGCTCCGGCCGCGCTATCCCAGCGGAATAACTGCCTACATGGGGCGCGCGGCGCGCGGTAGACATTGCCAAGGGGGCGGGGCCCGCCTGTCCATCAGCCGCCTCCGCCAATCACCGCCCGCTCCGCGCCGCGCGCCCCGCCCCGCCCCGCCCCCGCGGGCACTGAGCGCGGGCACCGGGCCGGGCACTGAGGGGCGCTCCGGCGGGTGGCGTGAGGAGTGTTCCGAGCGGCCGGACACAGCGAGAGAACGGCCGGACACAGCGAGAGAGCGGCCGGACACAGCGAGAGAACTGCCGGCAGGGGCTCCACGAGGGTCTCTGACCTTAACAGTGCCCGAACTCCCAAAAATGACCGAAAAAAACAAAGTTAGGAGAGGCAGAGCGGCGGGGGAGCCGCGGCCGCACCGCGAACACAGACCTGCCCAGAGCCGAGCCCGGGCTGGCCCCGCGTCCCGGGAGCGTCCCGGAGCTGCCGCCGCCCCGCCCGGACCGGCCCGGGCCCAGCGTTGAGCAACAGCGCCACCTGGCGGGGGTGGCGGCTCCCGCGGCAGCGGCTCCGCGGGGCCGGGCACGGACGGACAGGGACGGACAGAGGCGGACAGGGATGGACAGGAGCGAACAGGGATGGACAGGAGCGAACAGGGATGGACAGGAGCGAACAGGGATGGACATGGACGGATAGGGACGGACAGGGATGGACAGGAGCGAACAGGGGCGAACAGGGATGGACAGGAGCGAACAGGGATGGACATGGACGGATAGGGACGGACAGGGATGGACAGGAGCGAACAGGGGCGAACAGGGATGGACAGGAGCGAACAGGGATGGACAGGGACGGGCAGGGATGGATAGGGACAGACAGGGTCGGACAGGAGCGAACAGGGGCGGACAGGGATGGACAGGGACGGGCAGGGATGGATAGGGACAGACAGGGTCGGACAGGAGCGAACAGGGGCGGACAGGGATGGACAGGGACGGGCAGGGATGGATAGGGACAGACAGGGTCGGACAGGAGCGAACAGGGGCGGACAGGGATGGACAGGGACGGACAGGGACGGACAGGGACGGACAGGGATGGACAGGGATGTACAGGGATGGGCATTGCGGGCGGCCGCTGCCGGCGGCGCTTCCCCGGTGTACGGCAGAGAACGAGCCCCGCCGCTCACCGCGAAGGTGCCAATCGCTCACGCTTTTCTGCACGGGGACAGCGGGTGTGGGTGGGCCGGTGGGAAAGCCGTGCTCGGAGCGATTGTCTCGGAACTCGAGGATCCACCGGGACGCACAAGGTCCCGTGCACATCCCCCTCGTCCACAGCCGTACACGGAGCGCGTCCACCCGAGCCGTGCTCAGGGACACCTGTGCTGGCTGTGTCCTCGTTCAAAGCCGCTGCCCCGCTTTGCTTTGAACGCTCCGAACATCCGACTTCTTAAAAAAATACTCCCTAATCGCGCATTGACAACAGAATTGTAGTTGTTAGAAGCCCGCTAAGCCTCGGGTGGGTCAGGCAGCGTCAGTGGGCTGAGCACCGTCCTTGAGCAGTCCGTGCTCACAGAGCTGCCCCGGACCTGTCTGTCTGTCTGTCTGTCTGTCTGTCTGTCCGTCTGTCTGTCTGTCCGGCCGCTTCCCGGGGCAGCGCTGCGGGGCCGGGGCACACCGAGCAGCCCCCTGATGCTCCGTCCCTCCGCCGCTCTCGGTACCGCTGTCTGAGCCTCGGGAAGCTCCAGAACCCGCGGTTCCCGCAGCGCCTCCCTCYTCGGGAGCGCTGACCCCCCCACGCTCCCACCCGGGGCGGCCTTGCTGCCTCAGTTTCCCGCAGATTCGGTGGCGGTGCCACTCTCCCTTCTCCCGTGGGTGCCGCTCCCTCGCTCCCCAGCGCCCTCTCGGCACCCCCGGCACTCCCCTCACTCCGAGCGGGACACGGCTCCTTCCATCCCCCGGCTGCATCCCAGCGCCCCGGGCCYGAGGAATCGCACCCAGACTCTCCGAGGAGTTTCCCCCCGTCTGGGATAAAACGAATCTCTGCCAGCGTTAGCTGTRGTTTCCGCACAGAAGCCCTGTACAGGCTCGATTAGCTAAAAAAAAAAAWACTTTGGAAGCAACTTAACAGTTTGACTAATGATTCTGTGCATCGAGGAACACGCCTGCCCAGAATCTACTGTTTTCTCTTTAAAGCACTCTACTTTTCCCCAAATTCAAATATCCGTGCAACCTAATACTTACAAACACACCCTTACTAATGCTTTTTGCCTAAAATACAGAGTATCTTTCATCTGGTTTAATTTCAGGTCAAGATCTAGGGAGGAYGCATTTTTTTGGCTCTTAAAAACTGCTGTAAGGAGGTTTATTAGCACAGTATTTACAACGAGGTTCCTATTTCTGAGGCTCACATTGTTTTCCTTTGCCTTGAACATTTCTTTTGGAGCTCCCACTGGCAGAACCTTAAAGATAACCCTGCAAAGATAACTGGTGTGTTTTTCYCTTTCCGTAGAAAATAAATCTTTTAAGCGGCTGCTTGGATAATGGGCGTTAGAAAACACTGCCGCACAGTCAATGCAACTGTTAAAACTTGTACTTCCTGACTTTAATTATCTACAAGAATTCTTGGCCTAATGAGAAGGAAGAAAAGGGTTTAGTGCCTTTTTATTATTTACACAAAAATATAGGCAGTCCTCAATTAAAACTATCTGAATGCTCCTCTTCACATCTTTGATGCCTCTGACAGATCTACTACGAGTCAGGATAAACTTTATGGGAATGGTGGAATCTTCTTTTCTTAATTGAAGTTATTTTTGTGGCAATGCCAGAAAAGTCAGTCGTCATAAAAATATATAAAATGCTTTGAAACCTTATTTTTTTCTCTGTAATTTAATGCAATTTTAATTTGTTAAAAAAGTCACATAAAATAAACACAGACAATGTAAAAAAGGCCTGCAAATGTCATAAAATAAAATGTTTGCAATCCTACCAAATCCACTATATTTTGGCTCCAGTATTGGGGATTTTTTTAAGAAGTCTTGCCAAAATAATCACAATTTCCTAACTTTGTGTCATTTCAATGAATCGTAAAAGGCCAGCTCAGTTTTAACAGATGTCATTGATACTTGGACTAAATCCTGCTCTCGACTTCAGCCAGTAACTCCACCCTTCAACAAAGTATCTGACATCAGAATTTATCCCTTAAAATTTTGTTACAGCCGTCGGAGCTGTTTCATTTTTCTTAAACACCTATTACCTGAGCAGCCTGCTCTGCTGCCAACCTGCCAACTTATGTTCTTTTAACTCACTATCAGGAGTGATTTGGCTTTGATGGGAACTAATCATGTTTGCACCATCATCAAGTTTACACCATTTAAACGGTCAATTTAATGCAGCTCAATAAAGCACAGCCCTCGTCTCTGGTGTTTGTCTCAGATCTTGTATTTGTCTCAGCTCCTCAGTGAAACTGTATTCACTTGCAGCAGACACTGTAATAATTATGACAGTGTGTTAAATGTTCGATCCTGTTGGCTTCAGAGGGGTCAAACTCGAATTATTGAGAGATCAGGACTCGAGTGGTGCAAACAGGCATATGAACAAACACGGAACCTCTAAGAAACTGTAAATCACCTTGAAATGCAAGGACTGAAACATTGTATCTCCTACTCACTGCCAATTTGTTCTCCTCGTGTTTTAAAGCACCGAGGGAATATATTAGTGTATAAATAATTGGGCATTGACACAAGGGTGTTGCCTTGGATGTATCTCTGTAGTTAGTTTAATTTCTAACACATCGCTCTGAATGGATATCAAATGTCTCTCACACATGTATGTTTCTGTACACAGAGCCGCTATTCATTTTTTCCAATCACAAACACAACGTTTATGAGTTATATTACAATCCCTGAAAGGGCTGTGATTTTGGATGCACATTCAGTTCTATTTTTACTTTATCTTTTCATTCTCCATTTTTCTATGTCCACCTACTCATGCTCGTCCATCTCCCCAGAAGCTTTTTGCTGTCAGTCAAGTGACAACCTCAGTAGGAAGCTCTGTGTGTTCACGGGCCTCCTGAGGCCCAGCACTACATATAGATGGGGGAAAGGAAAAAAAAAAAAAAAAAAAAAAAAGGAAAAATAAGAAAGCAGGGGGGAGGAAGCACAATCTCTTCCTTTAGTATGCAATTCCACAGCCTGCAGGAAAAATTCACCCGTCTCCTCTGAAAAGCCTTTTCCGACAAAAATGCGATCCTATTTACTCCACTCCCACACAACTTCCACACTAGTTGGCTATTTGCAAAAGAGTGTAAAATAACCCCAGGAAGTGTAACACTGACACACAGAGTCTCATTGTCARAGGGAATAATGCCCCAAAGGTGCACTTTTATCAGGCTTGGCACCAGAGAGTCACTGTCGGCTCCTTCCCAGTACAAGAGCTCAGATGTGCCCAGCCTTTCCCTCCCTGGATTTACTGATTCTTTTGGATCTGTGAGTATTAAACATTTGCCAGTAGATCACTTGACAAAATTTATTGCTAGCGATCTGACAATAACAGCTTTTTATTTGATATGAGTAAGATTTCATTCCTCAGGTCATGTTTGCTTTAGATGAAGTTGCAGGCTGTAATACAGAAAGCCGTAGCGGGAGAACATCTCCATGAAGGTAATATGCATTTCTATAAACATCAAGCTGGCAGAATGATTTTGTTTCAGCTGGGATTAGCAGGARTTTTGCTGCTGACCTCAATAAGAAAAAGATCAGGTTTATAGCTCACTTGCAAATCCACTCTGCAAAAAGAAGTGAGCTTTAGGCGCTGTAGATTATTTACACTTCCTTTTGTTAATCGTGATCATCATCACAAGATTTTCCTATTCATTACTGCCTTGATGCTGATTACAGGACCTGTGACAGTGCCTTTATTCAGAGCAGGCACACGGCGTGACTTGACAATATCCAGACAGACAGATGCATAGATTTTTTGCCTTTTCTAACCAGCAGTGCTAAGGGAAACTAGAGAAGCGTAAGTGAAATGTAACAGGATTTTAGYGACAATTGAAGTAGTATCTT